GTTTTAGGAGATAAATTCAACAGGCACTTTTTTGCATGACCTAAGTTGGGAGATAAATTCAACAGCACTTTTTGCATGACCTAGTTTTAGGGAGATAAATTCAACAGCACTTTCTGCATGACCTGGTTTTAGGGAGATAAATTCAACAGCACTTTCTGCATGACCTGGTTTAGGTTTTAGGGAGATAAATTCAACAGCACTTTCTGCAAAAGACCGAGGGAGATGAATTCAACCAGCACTTTCTGCATCATGACCTGGTTTTAGAGAAGATAAATTCAACAGCACTTTCTGCCATGGCCTAGTGGTTTAGGGAGATAAATTCACAGCCACTTTTTGCAATCATGACCAGTTAGGGATGATAAATTTCAACAGCACTTTTGCTCCAATCTCAATGACCTCAGTATTTTAGAGCGAGGGACTAATTCAACAGCCACTTTTTGGCACGCACCAGAACACTAGCAAACAGACACAACAACCAGCACAAAAAAATGACCGACCAACACACCGACGCACAGACCACCGACTAACCAAAAGGCCAATGAACCTGGTTCTCCGTTCTAGCGGAGATAAAATTCAACAGCCACACACTTTCCATGCGCACAATGACCATGGGCAGTATAAGTTAGGGAAGCATAAAATTCAATCAAGCACACTTCCCTGCCCCGGAAGATGACCTGGTTCTCTATTAAGGAGATAATCAGATAAGATCAACAGCAGCTTCTGCAGTAGACCCTAGGATTTTAGGGAGTAAATTCAACAGCACTTTCTGCAGAACACAATATGACCGACCAACCCTGTCCCCACCCATGGTGCACCGCAACACTTCATAACCAAATCCACATTAGAGGAAGATCAAAAGTGCTTCAACAGGCACTTTCCTGCATACATCTACTATTGACACTCCTGGTTTTTTAGGAGGAAGATAAATCAAACAGGCACTTCATTGCCACCTTGGAAACATGACACCCCTGCGTTTTTTTTTAGGAGAGATAAATTCAACAGCACTTTTGCATTGTGAATGACCTATGTAGGGAGAAATGAATTCAGAACTGGCAAGGTTTGTCGCACTTGCACGATGATTGGGCCTTTGACGTACATGGCAGGGGGTACGGTTAATCGTAGGTTTTGTGGGTTGTTGGGGGTGGGTTTGGATTTATTGGATGCTTTTCTTGGTAAAACCTTTTTCCTGTAATAAAAAGCGTCTGCAGCGTCCATTACGATGTTGACGGACTGTTTTGCATAGGAAACCCCTTCCTGTTGAGGAGATCGGTATTATGGGTATGCTGATTTCTCTTCTCTCGCCCCGGTGACAGCGAGACGGATTGTCATTACCTCCCCTCCTCCGCTTCATCTCTCTCCTCTCTCTCTCCTCTCTCTCTCTCTCTCTCTCTCTCTCTACTCTCTCTCTCTCTCTCATCCTATATATATATATAATATATATATATATATATATATATATAATATACTATATAATATTATATATATATATCTGTCGATTTTTCCATCTCTATGTATCTCTCTCTCTATCTATCTATCTGTCTGCCTCTCTCTTCTCTCTCCTCTATCTATCTATCTGTCAGCCTCTCTTCTCTCTTTCTCTCTCTCTCCATCTATCTATCTAATTCTATCCCTTCTTCAATTACTATCTCTCTCTCTCTCTCTCTCTCTCTCTCTCCTCTATATTATATATATATATATATATATATAATAATATATTATATATTATAGTATATATATATATCTGTCGATCTATCCATCTCTATGTCTCTCTCTTTCTATCTATCTATCTGTCTGTCTGTCTCTCTCTCTCCCTCTCTCTCTCTGTCCTCTCTCTCTCTCTCTTTCTCTTTTCCTTTCTCTCTCTCTCTCTCTTCCTCTCTCTCTCTCTCTCGTTCTCTCTCTCTCTATCTCTCTCTCTCTCTCTCTCTCTCTCTCTCTCTCTCGTTCTCTCGTTCTCTTTCTCTCGTCTCTCGTTCTCTCTTCTCTCGTCTTTCTTCCTCTCTCTCTCTCATTCTCTCTTTCTCTCTCTCTCTCTTCTCTCTCCTCTCTCTCTCTCTCTCTCTCTCTCTCTCTCTCTCTCTCCTCTCTCTCTCTCTCTCTCTCTCTCTCTCTCTCTCTCTCTCTCTCTCTCTCTCTCTATCTCTCTCTCTCTCTCTCTCTCTCTCTCTCTCTCTCTCTCTCTCTCTCTCTCTCTCTCTCTCTCTCTCTCTCTCTCTTCTCTCTTCTCTCTCTCTCTCTCTCTCTCTCTCTCTCTCTCTCTCTCTCTCTCTCTCTCTCTCTCTCTCTCTCTTTCTCTTTCTCTTTCTCTCTCTTCTCTCTCTCTCTCTCTCTCTCTTCTCTCTTTCTTCTCTCTCTTTCTCTCTCTCTCTCTCTCTCTCTCTCTCTTCTTCTCTCTCATTCGCTTGTCTGCATCTCCCTCAGTTTCATTTACTCTTCTTTGCCATTCTCATGCTCACCCATTCGCTTTTCTCCCACGCATTCATTCTCCTTCATTCCCTCTCCTGCCTCCCTTTTTCTCTCTCTCTTTTTTATTTTCTGATTTATTCTCTTTTTCCTCTCTTACCCTCTTCCTCCATAGTTGAATTCTCCATGTCGGCCCAAGCAATCTTTGAAAGAAATAAGCAAAAAAGATTAATAAATTGATAGAATAAGAGAAGCATATAGTGAGGTAAATAGGGGGAACATACAAAGAAATGATGAAAACAGAGGAAATATATAATGGGATAATTAAGCTAGGGGGATATATGTTATGAATTAATTGAGGGAAATGTTTGATAGAAATGATAAATCGGGGGAGACATTTAATTAAAAGAAAAATAAATCAGGGGAAATATTTAATTAAGAAGGTGAATTAGGGGAAATATGTAATAAAACAGGATAGATTAGAGGACATATAATAAAAAAAGGAAAGATTAAGGGAAATATGTGATAAACTGAATAAATTAGGGAAATATGTAATAAAAAGACTAGATAAGGGAAAATTTGTAATAAAATGAATAAATTTGGGAAATAATGTACATAGAAAGGCTAGATTAGGGGAAATGTGTAATAAGATTAATAAATCTGGGAAAAATGTAATAGTAAGGATGAATTAGAGAAGTATATAATAACACGAATAAGAGAATACAAAAGAAGAAACATTAGAAGGAAATAAATCGCTTGATATAAATTTATGGTATGCGTCAACGTCATCTCATCAGTCGCCAGAAATTGTGGAATTAAAAGTGAAAATTTTGAAAAAAAAAAAAAAAAAAAAAAAAAAAAAAGCATAATCCGAACGATATTCCGGCGCCGCTGCGGGATGCGCCGGTATCAGTGTTGCCGAAATCCCGATGAAATTTCTTAACGTAACCTAACCAACCTAACCTAACCTAACCTAACCTAACTAACGTAACCTAACCTAACCTAACCTAATGTAACGTAACCTACCTAAACCTAACCTAACGTAAACCTAGTAACCTAACCTAACCTAACCCAACCCAACCAACCAACCTAACCTAACCTAGCCAACCAACTTAACCTAACCTAACCCAACCTAACCTAACCAACCTAAACCTAAAACCTAACCTAACCTAACCTAACCTAACCCAACCTATCCTAACCTAACCAACCCAACCCACCCTAATCTAACCGAACCTAACCCAACCCAACCTAACCTAACCTAACCTAACGCAATCTAACCTAACAAAACAAAACCTAACCTAACTAACGAAATTTCTAACGTACGTAACGTAACCTTAACCAACCTAACCTAACCTAACGAAATTTCTTAACGTAACGTAACGTAACCTAACCTAACCTAACCAACCTAACCAAACCCAACCCAACCTAACCTAACCTAACCTAACCTTAACTAACCTAACCTAACCCAACCCAACCCAACCCAACCCCAAACCCAACCCAACCTAACCTAACCTAACCTAACCTAACCTAACCTAACCTAACCTAACCTAACCTAACCTAACTAACTAATAACCTAACCTAAACCTAACCTAACCTAACCTAACCTAACTAACCCTAACTAACGAAATAACCTAACCTAACCTAACCTAACTAACCTAAACCTAACCCTAACTTAACCTCCTAACTTTACGTAACCTAACTTAACCTAACCTAACGAAATTTCTTAACGTAACCTAACCTAACCAACCTAACCTAACGTAACCTAACCTAACCAAATTTCTTAACGTAACCTAACGAACCTTAACCAAATAACGTACGTATTACCTAACAACGAATTTCTTAACGCAACTTAACCTAACCAACCTAACCTAAGAGAGGCAACTTTTGAATTCCAATTAATTAAAGCACAACCTGTGGAGTCCCCACAATTTTATTAACTTCCCCGACAGGTACGAACACTAGTCAGTAATTCTGTTATACTTTCCTTTGTATACATAGTGCGGTTGCCTAAATTAGTATTGCCAAATTTATAGTATGCGTCAACGTCATCTCATCAGTCGCCAGAGTGAAAATAGCTTGATATAAATTTATAATATGCGTCAACGTCAACTCATCAGTCGCCAGAGTCAAAATAGCTAGATATATATTCATGGTATGCGTCAACGACATCTCATCAGTCGGCAGAATGAAAATAGCTTGATGTAAATTTATGGAATGTTTCAACACCATCTCATCAGTCGCCAGAGTAAAAATAGCTTCATATAAATTTATGATGTGCGTCAACGTCATCTCATCAGTCGGCAGAGTGAAAATAGTTTGATATAAATGTTTGGTATTTTCAACGTCATCTCATCAGTCGCACAGTTTAGTCTATTTAAAGATTATCACAAATAAAGTTATTAAATAATGTAGCATTTTCTCTTAGATGCCCTGAAAGAAGGAATTAAAGAGCAATTAGATAGAAGGATGAAAAGAGAGATAATAATGTAGCATTTATTGAAATATTGAATGAAGTAATTAAAAAATAATTAGGTAGAAAGATGACGAGAAAGATAATAATGTAGCATTTATAAATACTTTCTGAATGAAAGAATTAAAAAGCAATTAGATAAAAGACAAAGATGAAAAGAAAGATAATGTAGCATTTTAAAATACTTCTTGAATGAATTTATTAACAAGTGATGAGAAAAAATATAGAAGGATGAAAAGAGAGATAACAATGTGGGATTTTAAAATACTTTCTGAACGAATTAATAAAAAAAAACAAACACTGTAGGCAGAAAGACAATAATGTAGCATTTTCCCCATGCTTGTTTTTTTTTTTTTTTTTTTAATGAAAGATTTCTTTTTGATTGATAAATTAAACTTACCGTTGAGAGGAAGAGGACTGCCAATGCAATGAGAAAGCTGCGTTGGGTCTTCATCTTGGCGGCTGGCAGAGAATCTGTTTGGAGAGAAATAAAAAATAGAAAGAAAGATAAGGAAGATGAAAAGATAGAAGGATTGGCAGAGAATCTGTTAGGATAGAAATAAAAGATAAAAGATAGGAGAGTAAGGAAGATGAAGAGATAACTTAACCTAACTTAAGATTGGCAGAGAATCTGTTTGGAGAGAAATAACAAATAGAAAGATAGGAAGATAAGGAAGATGAAGAGATAGAAGGATTGGCAGAGAATCTGATAGGATAGAAATAAAAGATAAAAGATAGGAGAGTAAGGAAGATGAAGAGATAAAAGGATTGGCAGAGAATCTGTTTGGAGAGAAATAAAAAATAGAAAGATAGGAAGATAAGGAAGATGAAGAGATAGAAGGATTGGCAGAGAATCTGATAGGATAGAAATAAAAGATAAAAGATAGGAGAGTAAGGAAGATGAAGAGATAGAAGGATTGGCAGAGAATCTGTTTGGAGAGAAATAAAAGATAGGAAGATAAGGAAGATGAAGAGATAGAAGGATAGGCAGAGAATCTGTTAGGATAGAAATAAAAGAAAAGATAGGAGAGTAAGGAAGATGAAGAGATAGAAGGATTGGCAGAGAATATATTTAGAGAGAAATAAAAAAAGAAAGATAGGCAGGTAAGGAAGATGAAGAGATAGTAGGATTGGCAGAGAGTCTGTTAGGATAGAAATAAACGATAAAAAGATAGGAAGGTAAGGAAGGTGAAGAGATAGAAGGATTAGAGGAAAGGAAAATAAAAAAAAGATGGAAGGATGGGAAGAAAGGTTGTCAGAGAATTTGTTTGGAGAGAATTAAAAGATAAAAAGCTAGGAAGGTAAGGAAGACAAAAAGATAGAAGGATTGGAGGAAAGGAAGAGAAAAGTATGGAAGGAGTGGGAAGAAAGATGAGAGATAAAAGAATTTGAAGAAAGATAAAAGATAGATAGGGAAAAATTCAAAGACAGAAAGATAAGAGTGAAAAAATTGAAGGATGGGAAAGAAACTAAAGAAAGAAGGATGAGAAGAAAAATAAAAAATAGAAGGATGGGATAAAAGAAAGAAAGGAGAGTGAATGAAAATAATATGATGGAAAAATAAAAAAAAGAATGGTGAGAAGAAAAATAAGAAGAAGGAAGAAGGATGGACAGAAATTAAAAGAAAAGATGAAGAAGAAGGATGAGAAGAAAGAGAAATGATAAAAGGATTGGAAGAAAGATAAAAAACAGAATTGATAAAAAGAAAGAAAGGTGAAAGAATGAAATCATTAACAGAAACATAAAAGAAGAATAAGAATAAATATGAGAGATGGAAGTATAAAAAGAAACATAAAAGAAGGATGGGAAGAAAGGTAAAAGATAGAAGAATGGGAAGAAAAATAAAAGATATACAGATACGAATACGATAAAAGATAGAAATGAAATGTAAAAAAAGCAGAATGATAAAAAAGAAAGAAAAAAAGGAAAAAATGATACGAAAGAAAAAAGTAGAAGGAAAGAAAGATAAAAAAACAGAAGAATGGGAAGAAAGAAAAGATAGAAGAATGAACAGAAAGATAAAAGAAGAAGGATAGAAAGAGATAAAATACAGAAGAAAGAGAAGATAGAAGAATGATACGAAAGAAAAGTAGAAGGATAAAGAAAAAAAAGATAAAAGACAGAAGAATGAGAGAGAAAAAAAAGAATGAACAGAAAGATAGAAAGGATGAAAGAAAAAGAATGAACAGATATAAAAGACAGAAGAATGAGGAGAAAGAAAAGATAGAAGGATGGGAAGAAAGATAATAAGTAGATGGATGAGTAGAAAAAAATTAAGAACGTATGGAAAGAAAGAGAAAAGATAGAAGGATGAGAAGATAAATAAGAGAGAGAGAGAAGTGAAAGAAAAATAAAAAACTGAAAGATGAGAAGAAAGATAGAATATAAAGGATGCAAAGAAAGACAAAAGACAAATATAGGAGGTAAGACAAATAGCAATAATGATAAGAATAAGTAGAAGCACTCAGAGACCGCATACCTCCGCCAGTGCAAAATCTAATGTCATCTTAGGCTAAGAAATAAATAAATAGATAATATAGATATAATAGATAGATAGATAATAGATAAAACATAAAAATTTGTTAATATAAAAAAAGAAAAAAGCAAACATCTGTTAATAACTTTTTTAAGTTATGCTGCTAACCAAAGATCAAATTAACTCACTAACTAACGCTACCAAATACATACCGTCATTGGTTTAGGTAATAATCACTATAGTAAAGATGATGATAATAATGATGACGATAATGATGTAAATCTTAAAGACGATTATAATAATTATGATACTATTAATGATGATGGCGTTTTGAATTAGAATATGATGATACAAATGAGGATAATGATAATTATAACTGTAAAAAAGCGGTAATGATGACAAGAACAGTAATTAAAAATAGCAATTAGACAAAATGGCGTCAGAAACGCTTGTTTACTCTCGTATGACATCTTTATGTATTTATTTATTTATTTTTTATCTATTCTATTTTATTTATTATTATTTTTTATTTTTTACTGTTCGACGTAAGATGCATTTTCATTTTTTAGATTTTGCATGAGAACTTTTTTTTGGTTTGTTTTTCTGATGATGGAAATTATTAGTAATGGCATCACGTCCTCAATCTTATATCATTATTTACCTTAATAGCACGTTTGATAATATGAGCAAAAGTTCACAAAACGGATTTAAGATACTTATATTGTTTTTCTTTCGGATTTCTCCTACGCCCCATGATCTAAAACCATTTTTTTTTTCTCTCTCTCTCTTTTTCCTTTTTTCGAGTTCTCTCTCTCTCTCTCTTTTTCCTTTTTTTTGAGTGATTTGAAAGTCACTTCACCAGAACCTCTTACCGTTGTGTCTCGTAGGGATGTGTCGTAAGAACTCCGTAGTTATATACGTGTTAGATACGACCCTCGTTTCTGCACCTGTGTCTCTTCCGCACCTGTGGACCGCTGTTGCCGTTGGTGTGAATAGAAATGTTTATTGTTGAAAGTTGAAATAAAAATTTATTGATATCTGTTTATATTCGTTTGCCTATACCGCCAAAATGGGATAGGCAAACGGTATGCTTTGTATTTCTCATTCATAAGAGAAATACAAAGAATTATGGAATACTGACAGATACCCGGATGGGAGATTACGAAACAATGCGTGACAGTCGCTATTGTTAAGTCAGGCATGCCAACTCTACCGACCATTTGGTTTAAGAAACAGGATTGCCAACCTAAGTATTGACATTCACTCTAAAATGTCTATTTACGTAAATATTAACTATGTTTGTTGCTGATGTTGTTGGGAGAAAGGTTTTCTCCTGCAGTCACTCATTTTCCGAAATCACTTGAAAAAATGTTTGTGTGTGTGTGTTTGTGTGTTTTTTTTTTTGTGTTGTGTTGTTGTTGTTGTGTGTGTGTGTGTGTGTGTGTGTGTGTGTGCGTATGTCTCTTTGTATGTGATGTGTTTGTGTAGGCACAGTATTAAAACGCAAAACCCTTTTGACCCGAAATGTTTTCTGTGTTTCATGGGAAAAAAATCCTCCATGTACCCTGAGGCCAGTGTCCATCTTGTAATAAGAGGATTTCACGCCAGAGAAAGGAAAAAAAGTGACCCAGAAACCCATATAAATCATTTAAAAATGTACGCTGGCATCCCCTCAGTGACAATACACTTGACATAATATCGATCATGTCATTCCAATATTATTTCAGTGTGTTTCCAGCTGTCCTTTGTATGATCTAACCATAATCATGATATTTTCTGGACCTGACACATCTGAAGAAATTATTTACAATATATTTCATTTAGACTATAAATACAGGATAATAATTCACATAAACTCTTATATTTACTTTTGATGTATTACCTTTATTATGTCATAATTTTATTCTCGTGAAAAATCACATTATCAAAAGAAGTTATTTATATATAAATTCTATCTTCTTAACCTCTCCCCCCTTCAACAGAATCCTAAAGTGAAATGATTTTTAAGTTATATCAATACTGCGCATGATCTGATGACAAATATGAAAATAACTGATAATGGTACATATAGTTCTTTATGATAATGATACATATATATTTGAATGTATGTATGTATGCAAAACACACAAACACAAACACACACACACACACACACACACACACACACACACACACACACACCACACACACACACATGTCAATAAATGCGTATTCTTTACAATTACAATTATAGAATAATTATCCTATAACAAATACAGACCATCCCTTTAGACCTACCTGACATTCCTCACTATACATTAGTCCCCTTCATACAAAACTCGGTTTATAGAGACCCTTTTGTTCATAAACTGCTGGGTCGTTATAGGCTCGTTATATCCTCCTCGCCGGGTTATCTAAATTTCGTTCTTAAACCTCAATACTTCTTGTTATCTTGTCTTCTTCTCTCGGTGCTTTTGGTCTCATTTCGTCTTGTTGACTTGGCATTTGCTTTACCGATCTTCGTCTTTCTGAACGTTTTTATTTCCAATTTTGTGTGGCCAGTATTGAATCATTCAAAATGGCGTCTCCTTGTTCTTTACAATGTTTTTATTTATACTCCGTTTCACTTACATTTTCTCACGTTTGTTTTCTAATCACTGATCTATGTCTGTATGTTTGTTTACATCTATCTGTTTATTATCATAGATTTAACCATTCTTGCAGTTGCTTCAAGTTAAGGTAAGCTAGCGGCCAGTTAAAAATAGCGCCACGTGGGGGATGGGAGTATGGGGTCATAAGAATCCCCCCCTCCCATGACCTCGACCCGAATTCAGCCTTCACCTTGCCTCCAGGACGGGCTTCGGCTCCTGCACCTCTTCTTAAAGGTAAGAACCCCACGTTACCTCACCCTCTTCAACATATATGTATCAAAGAGAAAGAAGAAAATATATCTTTCTCCCTAAACATAATCCCCCCCCCCCCCACCGGAGATCCTCCACAAGAAAACAATATTCAGGCTTCAGATCTCTCAGAAGAGGTATCTATCCTTGGGTCCGATGTCTCTCCGTGTGAGCTCCCAGTCTCCAACATGGCGCGGTTTCGAGTCTCCGGCAGCAGGAGAGCGAGGACGGAGGCCACGAGAGAGATCAGAGCGAAGACAGCAGACGGCGCCCAGGCAGACACTTCGCCCTGAGCAAAGAGGAGTTTGTAAGTAATCATAAGTAATGGAGGAAACTGTCACAGGCGGAAAGGTTTTACCAATGTTACACATAATTAGTGATAATAATGCTAGTGAAAATGTATCTGTTGGGATATGCCTTTTTTCTGGGTATGGGATCGGTTGCTTACATTTTTGTATGTAACGAGACATGATTATTAGTGGCTGTGACTTACACTGCAATGACAAATGGATATATATATAGAGATAGATAGATAGATTAGATAGATATAGATAGATAATAGATAGATAGATAGACAGACAGACAGACAGACAGACAGACAGACAGACAGATAGATAGATAGATAGATAGATAGATAGATAGATAGATAATAGTAACACTAACGATACTAATGACCACTATTACAATGGAGCGATAATGGCGATGATGATGATTTTTATTACTGCTATAATAAGGTAATCACACTTTTCATTACTTTTGCCATCAATCACAATCATTATCTTTACGGTCATGAATGATTGCAATACACAAAGGAGAATAATAATAACAGCTAAGTATCAAAAATAAATTATCATAAATGGTGAAAACTAATCATATGATAAATAAAAAAGTGAATAAAAGGGCAAGAAATAATAAGGATAATATGCATACGAGAAACTCTGATAAATACACTAACAGCAAAAAGGTATCACCTGCATATAGGCCTATAATTGTAATCATTAAATACTACAAATAACCATGTAAAAAGATTCAGTAACACTCAAAAAACAGACTCACCAATATGTCAATAATATAAGGCGAACAAATACTGCCCATGCGCGCTACACAGCTACCTTCCCCGACTGCCAGAGACCTATATCTTGTAGGGAACATTTCGGCAGTGTAGATCCACGTCAGATGGAAGGCGGCTGTCACACACAACTTGCCACTTTGCGAGAAGAATATTTTGAGGCCTGAGGGTGCTGGAATGTGGGAAGAAAACGGATGGTGTGAATCTAATCTGGGACTTAAAATGAGGCCGTTATTATCATTATCAAAGTCAGTGGAGGAATATAGAAACATGACAAGAAATTGGCTTTTGTTTACGTTTCTCTCTAAAATGGCATGCTTATTAACTGTTTCATGAGTTTTCCACAGTCACCATCTCGTCCAATCTATTATTACGAAACTAATACGCTAAATACCGTACTTGACAAACAACTACAATAAAGATCATGCAAGTTTCTCAATCTTTCTCTTACCATTCGGGAAATAGAACATGATGAGCGCAACAGACGAAATGCTAATAGTGCAGATGAAAAACAGCAACACCAACGTCCTTTGGCGACCTAGCCTTTCAATTGACGGCCATAGTAGCAGGTAAGCAGGGATTTCCAGTAAACCAGAGAGGAACATGTACGTGTAGATGTCAACACTGCGGTGCGGGAGACAGGGTTAGCCATTGGGTCGTAAGTTGCATTAATATCCCTCTCCTTCTCCCACTTCTCTCCCTCTTCGCCAGAGCACATGAATTCATATCTTTACACTCTTATTTACTTTTCGAAAACGTCTTTTAGAATGGACACTTAAATCCACGCAGTCTTAAGGTGCTGTCGCGCTAGCCACTTTTTCCGTCATTTTTTTGACAATTTTCTGAAATCATGTCCATTTTTGAGCGAATTGTCGATTTTCCCGTCAGACGATAATAATCGTTTCCGTCTGAAAACCTTTCCGTCAACTTTTTTCAGCCAAGCATAGTCAAATCAAGAGCTATATTCGAGAATGTTTGTATTTATGTTAAATAAAACTGTCAAAAAACTGACGGAAAAAGTGCTAGTGTGACAGCACCTTTAATGATACAGCGTGTCCACATTACCCGAGGTTGGTTGCGCCGAGGGCCGTCCCATAGTACACCATGGACACCCCAAACCAGCAGAAGAAAACGGCCAGTGAGCGAGTACGTAGTTCCCGCTTCGTAATCACCACTACGATGTTCCTGAGTACTCTTATGAGAAAGTTGCTGTCGCGTTTGTCCTCCGTTTTGTTTTCCTCTGCTAACTGCAAGGGAAGGATGTAAAGATTAGGTGTTTGTTAGCTTTTTTTTTTTTTATAAATCTTTGAATCTGAATTCCACGCATGAACGTTTAATATATCACACACACTCACACAATCACTTGCTTACTCAATCACACACATTCACTCACTCCCTCACTCTATCTCCTCACTTTCTTATTCACTCATCCACGCGTCTATACAACACTGCTACCGACCAAACCAGCAAAGCAAACTCAAAAAACAAAACCTAGACCAATAACCTTTTCTGATGGTTCCCATTGCATCCAAGATCTCGGCCGTTGGGGGTAGCGTCCGTCCGTTGACCTCGGCGGCCTCTGAGAGCAACTCAAGGGCGTCCTTAAAGCGTCCTTGCTGGATGAGCCAGCGGGGAGATTCGGGAAGCAACCTGGAAATCATTTCAGACATTTCGGGTTATAATAAGAGTGAGTATTAAGCTTAAATAATATGAATAGACCGTTATATATATATATATATAGTGACGATGAAAGGAAAACCTCGATAACTTAAATTTATGATGAATGGGAGGAAAACCTTGATAACTTGAATTTAAGATGAATGTGAGGATGTATGGGAAATATTGATCATATAAATTCATAATTTATCTGAGGATGAAAGAGAAATCTTAACTTAAATTTATGATTGATGCGAGGATGAAGAGAAAATAACTTGATAACTTAAATTCATAATTTATGTGAGGCTGAAAGGGAAATCTTGATCATTTTAATTTATAATTGATGAATGAATGATAACTTTAGCCTTGATTACTCCAATTCATAGTTTAAGTAAGGATGAATTAGAAGCCCTGATTTTATTGTCAGATTTCAAACTGATAACGAATTTTGTTTGAAATCTTCCAGACATACATTTGTTTCTGTATATCAATTTTCCCCCGAAATGAGGTACAAGACATACCTAAAATACCCTTAAAAGCAAAAAATCAATATCAACAATACCTTTAAGAACCATTATTCCACAAGGATTCGCCCAATCATTATAAAATAATCATACAAGATTAAAAAAAAAAAAAGACATTGCATAATACACCACACCACACACACTCTAAACCCTACCAGTAATAAGCCAACAGAGGGACATAGGGTGAGATGAGAACCGCCTGCAACCGCTGCCACGACCTCACCACGTAGGCTATGCCCGGCAGGATCATGTACCCGATGGCCCAGGGCAGGATGAACAAGATGGCCGCCATGGAACGAAGTTTGGGGGACGAAATTTCAAGGGCTGAGGAAAATAAGATCGGTTTAACAGTAGATATTATAGGCCTATATATTGATTAAAGGTCTGTATTTAGATTATAGGCCTATATGTTAATTATAGATTTGTATTTAGATTATAGACCTATATACTGATTATAGGTCTGTATTTAGATTATAGACCTATATATAGATTATAGGCCTGCATTTAGATTATAGGCCTATATATATAGATTATAACCCAGTAAATAGTTTATAGGTCTAAATAGATTCTAAATCTGCAAGTAGGTAGGCCTATGTATATATATATATATATATATATATATATATATATATATATATATATATATAGATGGTTTTGTAAATAGATTACAGATTTATTTCATATTATAGATATAGATAGATAGATTACAGGACTTTATTATAGGCTAATATGTAGTGGGGAAGACTCCTTGTTTTCAGAAACATGATATTTGTGAATTTGATATATCTGGATTGCATAGATAATTAATTATTTGTTTAAGATGGGCCTGTTCATTCTAAAGGAGGTTTCTACGAATAACATTTATGAATCTACCAACGATAATAATAGGATTAATATCAATAAAAACACACGTGCAGGACACTTTACACCCCTCATTAAAACAGCACCTATCCCCCCCCCCGCCCATAGCAACTAACCCACCCCCACCCCACCCACCCGCGCCCCCCATTCTGCCCACATCACCAACTCACAGATGATGAAAGTAGGCACGTAAATCCCCATGATGAAGATGCAGAAGAGTAATCTCAGCGAGATAAACACCCAATATACGGGGATGGTTGTCATGGCAACGCCCACGACCAAGATCAACACCGTGGACCACACTGCCACTGTTCGCCGACCCCATCTGTGGGCGGTGGGAGAAATAAATCGGTGTGTGTGTGTTTGGGTTAGATATAATTATGGTGTCAGTTGTATGGACTGTAAATCTTATGGTGATTTTGTTATCTGTATTATTATTTTTCATATTGATGTGATTATGGTGATTGTGTTATCTGTATTTGTTATTTTTTCGTATTGATGTGATTATTGTTTTTTGTTTTTTATAATTGATTTACCGTTTCTGTTTGGAATGTTATTTTCCGTTCATTGTCTTTTTTGTCCTCCTTATTATTTCATTCCTGTTACTGCAGTTGGAATAGGCATTGTCTTGAAAATTATCAACGATATTAACACTTTCTTCA